AAATGTTGCGAACTTCCTTGATCTTTCAAAGCATGCATGTCCTGAAACTGCTCGTGGTCATGTTTAAGTTCGAAATCAAGCCTTGACAGCCTTTAAAGAAATCACAAGTCCGATTCAAGATTAAGTGTCTACCACCCTTAAATCAAAACCTAGTTCAAGAATAACCTGTGGAAAGTCAACAATTGGAGGAAACCAAAAAAGTTCTCCGAACCAGTTCAAGATCGAAGCTGTGGAAAGTCAACAATTGGAGGAAACCATAAAATCCTCCGAACCAGTTCAAGATCAAAGCTGTGGAAAGTCAATAAGCGCAACAAAATACGTGCCGATTCACCCACTACCAAAGCAAAAGATCATCTACCACATGAAGCTCCTTGTGGTCCAATTTCAACCTTCAAGATCAAGCCTCAACGGCTTTTGAAGAAATTTCAAACAAAGTTCAAGATCAAACCCCAACGGCCCTTGAAGAAATCACCAACCCAGTTCAAGATCAAGCCTCAACGGCCCTTGGATCAACCTCTGCAGTAAGGGACTTCAAAAACGCATCTTCTACACGTGACAAGCACATGTATACGACGCGCCTTGAAGTGGGGGCATTTGTAGACATCGAAATTTCGGTAAAATAAATGTTGATCAAAAATTAAAATTTCAATGTTTATGTGTCACATAAATTTTACACATAGCATGTGACTAAACGAAAAATCAAAATAAATCGGAAAAGTCATCAAACAGGACACGTGTCAACACCTGGCAGAGATGATTTATTCCATCTAATTATTTAAATCCAAAAAATCAAGTTTTGGAATTCTATAAATAGAAGGCCAAGGCATTCATTTGAGGGACACCAATTCATAACCAATTCACCTCATATCAAAACCTTGAAGCTTTGAAACTCTAAAGCTCTCAAGCAAATTCCCGAAAGATCAAGAAAACTTTCTTCGTTCTTCGTCAAATCCTCATTCAAGATCAAGCCCCAACGGCCCTTGAAGACCATTCACCTATTCAAGATCAAGCCCCGACGGCCCTTGAAGAAAGTGTTCATCGTTCATCATCCGTTTATCCTAAGATAAGCCCCAACGGCCCTTTGGATCAACAAACATCAACAAATCCACACATCCATTCTGCAAGATCAAGCCCAAAGGCCCTTGAAGATCCGTTCGTCAAGTTCAAGCCCAACGACCCTTGAAGATCCGTTCATCCGTTCGTCAAGATCAAGCCCCGACGGCCCTTTGGACCAACAACATCTAATCCACCCATTGCAAAGATAGAATCAGAGGCTAAATTTGTAGAAGAGATTGTAACCCCTAAATCATCAATACAAATATTATTTTGTACACGTGTTTCTTGTCTCGTTCATCGCAGGGAATTTCCGTGTTCACAGTGATCTATTCTAATATGCATAAAGATAGATAAGCCCAAATCCGTAGTAATGGAAAACATCTTTAACACCAATTAGGTGGTAGCATGTAGGCGTAGTGCTGCTTTATGCCAAAAGATTATCAGCACATAAAATGTCTAATCTAGTGCATTGAGCTAAGTACAACAAACGCCAATGGTACTTAGATATGGCCACCTCACGTTCCAATATGGAACCTTATGCTTCATACCCTCCGTAAAGGTCTCATTTGCATCTAGCGTACATACGATCATGGTGTTCTTGTGTTCTATAACTATTTGAATCAGTACATGTAAGTCCTTTAGAAACTCCATGTAGGTTCGTATCAGGATCCCAGAGATACTACAACCACATTTGTAATATTGCGATCAATCACATGGCGTATGAGAGAAGCCTTGCGTCACAAGGTGTCATATCGCACTATTTCATTCATCTCATTCGTCATCAATTGATTCTTCTAGTTGACCAATCAGTTCTACGTTGACACTAATCAACAAAACGCGGTTCGTTATTGTCGCTTTTCATTTATGTCGGAGGTTACCATATAAATGCAACATTATCTATAATAATCTCATTCAAATTCCATATCTCATCCAAACTAATAAACTGGACCAAGAACTTCAGGTATCAGGAGTAATCCGGATTTAATCTCATGAGATGAAAAGGATTGAGACAGCGATCGAGGGGCGGATTTGTTTATGTTAGGAAGTGAATCCTCGAACCGAGTAGTCTTCCATGCTTCTGGCGTATGACAGATTAATTGGCTAGCCATCAATGTATAAGGGTCGACCATAATTGTGGCATTCCTACGTTCGGGATGAAGGTCCGTCGTACATTTGGTACAAATCTTTGCATGCACATTTGCAGCTGGTATATGTGATCTCGTCACTTTTTACTAGATCAGAGGAAATGTCTAGTTATACTCTTACGATCTAGATTGGGATCGAGATGAGACATAGTGGGGATGTCCATGATAATTCACGTCGATCTTTAGGAATGTTGACGTTCTTATTTCCCCCTAACGACGGGAAGACTATCTCATAAAAATGACAATCTGCAAAATAAGCGGTAAAGAGATCGTCTATAAAAGGTTCTAAGTAACGAATATTAGAAGGAGAATCATAACCGACATAGATTCTCACCTTTCCGTGATTATCCATTTTTTTTCTTTTGTATGTAAGGGCGGCGTAAATGGCACATAGACCGCACAACCAAAGACGCGCAGATGCGATATGTCAAGTTCATATCTAGTAACCAACTAACACGCGTTTTAGAAGGTTGGGTCGTGACGGGCCTCAGGCAGACCAACATGGTTGCTTGCAATATTGCATGGCCCCTAGCTTGTCATACATGTCACATTAGGTGACTACGACTCGTGTGTTAGTATAGACTGATGTTAGTATATTCTTGCGTGTTAGTATATTGTCAATAACATGCCTATATTTCTATTGTGACTGAATTATTCATGTTGTGGCACATTTATGAGATATATATATATATATTGTTGGCATACACTTGATTCTTCATACTTATATTGTAGTATGTTTGGTTTTAAGGAACTATACTTGTTTTACGGCGAGGGGTTAGTATATTCGAAAATAAAGGATTTTCTTATAAGCATTGTTTTGCTGATCCACTCAACTTTGTTTTTCGCCCTTCCAGGACCTAGATAGCGGTACTCTTTGTGGCACTCGAGGAATCTTGGCAAATCTGACATTCTCTTCGGTTTAGACGTACGAACTTATCACTGTTGTGTAATAAGTGTACTTTAGTTGCTTTGACTACTCTTTGGTAGTCGTACTGTCTTTTAAGCTCTGAATAATTGTAGTGGGTTATCCCCACAATTGCGCACTCTTTCACTGTTTAGTATAATTAGTTCTAATTAGTTTTAAATTTATTCACTTTTCACATCTCTTACCCTTATGGTTACGTCACCTCACGGTGATGGCCAGCATGCTTCGACCTTCCTAAGTCGGGGTGTGTCAGCTTGTATCACGTTCAACATAAGAAAAATAAATTGAATCAATAAAGTATATGAATTCAAGAAAAATCAAAATTTAATGAATTAAAAAGAATTGAAACGTAATACTCCACTAATTGAAAACGGATAAATTCTCTTTAGCACAACATGAAGAGCGTGCCGATAACGTGTTATGGCCTATATTTAACTGAGGGGTGCGGCATGGAGAGAAAGAGAGTGGAAAACAGACTTGAGGAATTGTGTGTTAATTCTCCAGTCCTTGTCCCTTTATTTATAGTAATAAGGAGGAGGGAAATTGCTCTCCAAGTAATACAAAGTCTATTAGGAAAAATCTTCTATATCCCAAAGGATTCCTAATCTATCTCTACTTAGGATTGACATAATCACAATATGTATTAGAATATATGTCACAACAAAAAGAAACTATTATTGGCAATCTAAAAATCTAATTGTGCACTCATTGTAAGAATATTTTTCTTTTTAAATATAAAAATTTTAAAGTACATAATTAAATCTTTAGACCATCTCCAACCCGGACAAGGATTGTCTGCCCTCCTAGTTATGGTGCCCTTCCATGCCCTCCTATTTTGTGCGGCCACGGTTAAGCCACGTTAATATTTTATATTTTTATTGTTTTTTATCTTATTATCTCATTAAAAAATTAATATAAAATGTTGAAGTGGCTTAACCGTGACCGCACAAAATAGGAGGGCATGGAAGGGCACCACAACTAGGAGGGCAGACAATCCTTGTCCCTCCAACCTTTGGGCTAAAAGCCAAATTTTTTAGCCTGGAAAATTTGGCTTTTAGCCCAGAAACAACTTTTCTGCTCCAACCCTTCTGGCCTAAAATTTTAGCTCGAGATTATTAAAGAATGAACTTAGGCTAATTTTTTTCTTAAATCAATTTAAAAAAAAATAAATATGTAGACTATTGTAAATTAATTTTATGAACATTTTAATCTTAAAAAAATTAAATTCCGATAAATATTGAAAAATCATTAAATTTTTCACAAAGCAAGCCTTCAACTTTCACCAACCGTTCAACACCAAACTTTCAACTTTCACCAACCGTTCATCAATCATCCTTTATATAAACACAGGTCCAATATTAGTTGATCACACAATCTTTCAACCTTTAATCATCATCTATATTCACCAATCTTTCAACTTTCAAAGAGCTTTTATTTCCTAAAAATCCTCAATATCTCATCAATGGGTGATAGAAGAAGGCGTAGCAGGGCAATGGAGATGGCACAATACCAAGCAAGGCTTGACATTAAGGATGCATAACTGATCAACGCCGAAGTTGAACTTGTAAACTCATTTATGCAATATGAGCACCATGGCGAATCTAGCCATCGTGGTTCTGTCACGGAGCGTTCATTCGTGCATCGTGATAGAGAAGAGTGTCATGACCAAATGATGAAAGATTATTTCATTGAGCGGCCGAGATTTCCTGTTCATGATTTTCGGAGGCGGTTTCGGATGAGGAGAGAGTTTTTTGAAGGCATCTTGAACGCAGTTGTCAATCATGACCACTACTTTGCAAGGAAGATAGATGTCGTAGGCCGACAAAGTCTATCACCTCATCAGAAGCTCACATCTGCATTTCGAATGCTAGCTAATGGGTGCTCTGCTGACTCAACTGATGAATAACCGACTTGCGGAGAGTACTGCTATTGAGAACCTGAAGCACTTCTGTCAAACCATTCAAGCCATCTATGGAGAAGCATACCTCCGCAAGCCAACTCGTGAAGACTTGAAAAGGCTTCTACGCAAGGCAGACAAAAGAGGCTTCCCTGGCATGATAGGAAGTCTCGATTGTATGCATTGGAAGTGGAAGAATTGTCATACTGGTTGGGCTGGCCAATTCAAGGGCCGTCATAACAAGCCAACCATCGTGCTGGAGGTTGTGGCATCTTACGACACATGGATTTGGCATGCATTCTTCGGCTCTCCCGGATCAAACAACGATATCAACGTTCTTTGGTCTTCTCCTCTGTTCGATGAGGTTGTGAATGGATGGGCACCAGAATTTCGATACAAGGTAAATGGTAATAGGTATGAGCTAGGTTACTACCTAACTGATGGTATTTATCCTAGTTGGTCTACCTTTGTCAAAAGTTTTTCTCATCCCGATAGTGCAAAGAAGAAATTATTTTCGCAGAGGCAAGAACATAAACTTAATACAAACGATAATTAATAAAGCACATAATTCATACACTACATAAACTTAAAAATCATATCCACCATCTTCACTTGGTGATTGACTGCTTGGTTGACTTGGAATATAGGGTTCTGAGGATTCATCATCTTGAAATATACTCCTTGTGGTATACTTTCGCAAAATTTCCTTTTGCTTACCACGTAAGAACTTCTTCCTCTCTTGAGTGTTTTGTTGAGGTCCTCCATCATCAAATTAACTTCAAACCTATCTTGCTCCCTATCCGCTTCTTCCTTCATTTGCAAACGCATTAGGGTTGCTTCTTTTTGGCGAGCGCTATGAGTTTCGTGCAATTTTGCTATTTCGGTAGCAAAGTGTCCACTCGTCGAATCTTGGGACTTCCCTTTTCTCTTTGCTTCCTTTTGCTTATCTCTTCCTGAGGGCCTTGCTAAAGAAGGAGATGGGGTCATTTCATCAACACCTTCATTGACACCTTCATCTCCGGCATTTCTCGATGCGGCTTCACGTTGAAATAATCTTCCCCATTGTTGGTCCGCATCAGTTGCCCACCTCGGACAATCCTTGAGGACGTCCCAAGCATGTTGCAACTTAAAAACTTGATTTTTTGGTGTTACTCTTGTCTTGTAAATTTCCATTGCTTTGTCACCCTATGCAAAAAATACATAAAAATAATTAGTTGCAAAATAATATTATGTACATGACAAATAAAATATCAAGAAAAAAACTCACAATTTCTATGGTGCTCCTTCCACTAGGCATGTCAACCACATCTCTCTCCAAGCTTCCCTTCCATAAAGTGCATGCTTTGTTGATAGTCTTCCATCGATCATAAACACCACCACCGTCTCGCCCGCCGCCGTTGCAGTTTTCTTGATACTTTGCAATGATTTTATCCCACAAAACCTTTTTATTTTGATTTGTGCCAACTGCACCATCTTCGCTAATAGAAACCCATGCCAAGCATAAAGCAACATCTTCCTCACAGGTCCAATTACGACCTCTAATATGGTCTCTTGCCATGTTGAATAATTTGGAAATGGAAAGAAATGATAGAAAGATAAATTGGAAGAATTGTAGGAGAAAATTGAGTTTTGTGTGGATGTTTGAACAAATACATAGGTATTTATAGAGTTTTTGGGTGAATTTTGAGTTAAATAATTTTTTTTAATTATTTTAGCTGTTGGATTTAAATTTGGGCCGTTAGATCTTTTTATTACCGTTAGATTTGATTACATTCGATCTCAGCCGTTGGATTCAATGTATTTTAAAATAACATATTTTTTTAAAATGAAATTTGAATTTGGACCGTTGGTTCCAACGGTCCTTAAATGATGGTCGTCGGATGGGGAAAAGAGCCGTTAGGCTCGGGGGTAGTGGCTGACAGGGCCTTGGCAGTGGGACCCCACGCTGTCGGGAGCAGATTCAAACCAGGCCCGTGGGGCGCGTCCGCGAGTGGGCGGGCCGAGAGTGGCCCAAATTGTGGCGAGTCCACGCGGATAGGGGGAATTTAGCCCAGTTTTAGCATTCCCCTTTTAGCCCAATATTTTAGCTTGGGTTGGGTAGTGTTTGGGGGGAATTTTTTGGCTAAAATTTGGCTTTTAGCCCAGGTTTGGAGTTGGTCTTAGAGTGCTAATAATAATTCTCTTGTTAAATATGATGCCTAAAATGGGAGATATAAGAATTAAGTGTTAGGATGATTAGCATTTATCCTTCCCTTCGTTATATGGTATTTTAGGATGGAAGATTATTACTCGTAGATCATGATGTGCTATAATGGTTTTGATTATGAATCTTGCTAGAATTATTTTGTTTTCTTTACATTTCGAAATTTATTTAAGTTTCAGTTATGTAAATCGGCTTATCAGCTCATGAATCCCTTTTTATGATCGTTTATAGTCTTGACTCAATCATGAAATAGTTACACTCAGTTTTTTGCTTTCATTAATATTTTATTTCCATTTACAAACTTAGGCAAACACACTTTTCACAATGGATTCCAAGTCCTCCTTCACTCGAGGCAGAAGAAAAAAATTAACCGAACATCTCACTAGGTGTCGTTTTGGTTCATAAGTTAGATCTAAGTGCAAACCAAACTTATTCCTAAATAAAAGCCCAACCATCTAGTGCCACATCTATTCTCTCTCTCTCTCTCTATCTCGGCTTGAGCCATCCAATGACACCGAGACTCAAAAGCAACACCCAAAGCAAACCATGTGTTGAACCTAGTCGGGCTCTATTCGAGTTTGACACCAACACCTTGAATTGATTTGTAATCCTCTTTACCTGTTTGGGTTGAGTGCTTTGTAATCTTCCAAGAATCTTTCAATTCTTAATTCATTCTCCTTTTCCTTTCTATGAGCGCCATATACCCGATATGCTGCAGTTGCCAGTAGAACAAGAAACAAAGAACCCAGGATTCCACCACCTGTAGCCAATCTTTTCCATATATGTTGCCATGCATGTAAGATACAAAATCAGAGTATAGTCATTAGTATTCTCATGATAATTGCTTAAACTCCAGCAGTAAATATATGTTATACTTGCTTTCCTCAAATGTACGCTTTCAATTTCACTCTTGAAGAAAACAAGTAAAAATATGCCAAGGGAAGAAAGAGATGAGCAATTTCTGCATTTTTGAACTAATTCTAATTCACATGAAATCCGGAACAGGATGAAGTGCTTTCCTTTGTAATTAAGGATCAATAATATAATGTCGTGTGTAAATTTTTATTCATGTAGCATTGTGTCATTAGCTATCGTCGTGGCAGTGCTCCCATTATACGCGTGGCAGTGCTCCCGTCACATGTAAATCAATCTCCATTATTACATAAGTCAATCTAGTCTGGCCGTTGACCGACTGCTCGCCATCATGGGCCTGGCTTTAACTAAGCATGACTTGTCCTCTTGGATATTATTTCACGGAGGGTGCTCTAGCCACTCTAGCTCACAACCGAAGATTGGAGTACCAATTCACATCAATTGGAAGCCCTACCACTTAGAAAGTCATACTTCTTTCTTTGTCATAGTTATGTAGAATTTTCATCCCTAAATCCAATCACTAACTTGCACGCTCATTCTTCAAGACTTGAAAATAAACACAATAATATGACTTTTCTCAAATATTTCATCCCTTATCATAATTGCGAACTTGCACTCACATTCCTCTAAAAACTTGAAAATAAACACAATAATGACTTTCCTCCTAAAAATTTCATCTTTTATTCTAGGAAAAATTTGAAAGAGGTCCAATTTTATAGCCCATACTTTGAAATAGGTCCAATTTTTAGTGACTTTTGACTTTTAAAATAGGTCCAATTTTTAGTCCAATTGGACCCATATCAAAAGACTCCTTTATTCTAATTACGAACTTAGCACTCTCATTCCCTAAAAGTTATAATAATTGTAGCCGTTTGATCAAATTTCAACGGTCCGGATCATTTAATCCTTAGGCTCAATTTTTTTTAGATCTAGAGAGGATCTGTACTTGAAGTGTTTTACTTTGTATTGAAGGATCAATAATGTACGTATTATTGTGTGTAAATCTTTATTCACATAGCATTGTATTATTAATAATCCGTTACATGTATGTTCCAATTGCGAACTTACACTCTCATTCTCCTAAAGACTTGAAAGTAAACACAATAATACTACTTAGTTGTGCTATCTACACACTATTTTTTACCCTTCACACATCTCTTGTTAATTTCTGTCATTTTTTTTTTTTATCCATTCAATCGGAAAAATGAAAATTAAATAAAGTATGTAAATAGCATTACTCTTCTCTTAATCAAGTATTTCAATGAGTCCCACTTAATGATGTTTTCTTTGCTTTTTCGTAAATCATTGTAACTTTTCTTTTGGCTTGTAATGAATGTCTACTTCCAAGGTCGTTCACCACCCTTCTCCTAATTATGTAAATTAGTCCATTTAATGACCTTTTCTTGCTTTTTCCTAAAGCGTTATAACTTTTTTTTTTTTTTGTTTCTAAAAGCAATTCCACCGTTGCTTATTATCTTGGGAATAAGCAATACAATCTAATTGTAGCAACAGTTCTTCCAACATGAATTTTTTTAACAGAATTCTGATGGAGTTGACAAAAAAATCATAGTTGCATATTTTGGTAAGTTAAGGGGCAAATAGTCATGAATTTCTTGTTGATTGATCATTACTCTAATTGAATTAAAATTAAAGAACTATTGCTACAATTTTCTCTAAAGAAAAGAAGTAAAAATATGCAAGAGGAAGGAAGAGAGGAACAATTTTATGTATTTTTGAATTAATTTTAATTCACATGAAATCCGGAACAGGATGATGTGTTTTTCTTTGTAATGAAGGTCCGGATCCCTATCCACCAAATCAGGAAATTTATTTCGTTAAAATTTGATCCAACGGTTAAAAACAGAGATCTCTTGTTCTAATTGCGAACTTGCACTCTCATTCTCCTAAAGACTTGAAAGTAAACACAATAATACTACTTAATTGTGCTATTTACACATCATTTTTTACCTTTCACACATCTCTTGTTAATTTCTGTCACTTAATATTCTTTAATCCATTCAATCGGAAGATTAAAAATTAAATAAAGTGTGTAAATAGCATCACTCTTCTCTTAATCAAGTATTTCAATGAGTCCCATTTGATGATGTTTTCTTCGCTTTTTCGTAAATCATTGTAACTTTTCTTTTGGCTTGTAATGAGTGTCTCCTTCCAAGGACGTTCAACACCCTTCTCCTAATCGTTATACCTTCTTTTTTTTGTTTTGTTTTTGTTTCAAAAAGCAATTTCACCGTTGCTTATTGTCTTGGGGATAAGCAATCCAATCTAATTGTAGCAACTATTCTTCCAAGATGAATATTTTTAACAGAATTCTAATGGAGTTGATAAAAAGAATCATAATTGCACATTTTGGTAAGTTAAGGGATCAATAGTCATAAATTTTTGGTTGATTGATCATTGCTCTAATTTAATTAAAATTAAGGAACTATTGCTACAATTTTCTTTAAAGAAAACAAGTAAAAATATGCAAGAGAAATGAAGAGAGGAACAATTTTCTGTATTTTTGAATTAATTTTAATTCACATGAAATCCGGAACAGAATGATATGTTTTTCTTTGTAAGAAAGGGAAAGGGATC